TGGCAGGTTGATGTCGCCTCCACCGTTAACCTCCATGGGCTGCAGGTGGACAGCCTGCCTCACCATGGTCTTCACTACAGGCTGCAGGGGAATCCCTGCTCTGGCCCCTGGAGCACCTCCACCTCCTCCCCCTCCTTCTTCACTGACCTTGGTGTCTGCATAGTTGTTTCTCTCACATATTCTCACTCCTCTCTTCCATCTGCTGTTGCGCAGCAGGTTTTTTCCCCCCCTTCTTTTAAATATGTTATCACAGAGGCACAGAGGCACTACCGCTGTTGCTGATTGGCTCGGCTTTGGCCAGCGGCGGGTCCATCTTCGAGCTAGCTCTATTGGACATGGGGGAAGCTTCTGGCATCTTCTCACAGAAGCCACCCCTATAGCCCCCCACTGCTACCAAAGCCTTGCCACGCAAACCCGATACAGCCTTACATCTAGAAGCCTTTGCTAGTGAAACCACAGAAAGTGTTGAGCTAGAAGTGGCCGTACTTGCACCATTTGTTAGTTCTTGTAATGATCAGATGATGTGAATAACATATATTGCTTATAAGAATTCTGTGAGAAAATGTGGATCCTAGACATGTATAAGTTGAATAATACTGAAAGAGGATTAAATTTAACAATGATTAGTCTTTTCGTAATTGTTCGGGTGACTGATTCATTTTTAAGTTCTGTGGTGTTCACTTGAAAAAGAATTTGAAACTAAATAGGAAGTTGGAAAACGCTGTGCAGAATCTTCTGTAGGAATTTAAGTATATCAACACTTTTGCTCCTAAAATCGTAGGATGAAATAGTATGTTCAAAATTTCATGCTTAATTCAGGATAAGATTTGAATAAGATTTATCAGATGACTCTTCGAGTTTTCTTCACATAAAGCCATTACCTTTCTGCCTCACTGGCTTGAGATTAAATTTCACCAACTTGATGACATAATGAATTTTTTTGGAATGAAAACTTGAGACTGAAAAATGCAGACTGCTAGAAAAAGTCTTATTATGTGCAGCAGAACTTGGAAATAGACATGTTTTTGTTACTTTTGGCTATTCATGTACTGTTTTTGTATTTAACTTCTGATAATAGCGTTGAATGCTTGAACCGTATGTGATATTGGGGTGCCTCAGTAACCTTAATGTGAATATTCTTATATATTTTAAAATTAAGAATTCTTAGAAATTAAGTATTTAATATAATTACTCCAAGATCCATTGTGAGTTAAACCAAATGATAGTGCTACCAGTTCCCAAAAGTTGGGCTCAAAGACATGCAGACTGATTAGTTAGCTGGTATAGAGAAGGATTTATAGCATTTTGTTTGGACAGGGATAGCTGAATGGAGCGTGGGAGCATAATAAGGAGTCTGGCGACACTCAAGTTCTTTGATGTTTTTTGTTCATTGGTATTGATCATCTGGACAGCATCTTTGATCAGAGGTTAAGGCAGTCTTAGTTGAAGTGTGTATTGCAAATCTGTGCAGCAAAACAGTGGAAAGTTAATAGTAATGTTGAAAAAACCCCCAACCATACAAAAAAACCCCACACAATAAAACCCGACTGTTTGAAATAAAGGGCCCTGCCACACAGTTTATAGCTTAAGAGCTTTTGAGCTAACATAAATACAGTGTTTGATATGAAGATTTTGGCTGGTGGGGATTGTATTACCTTTCTTTTAAGGAAGTTTATAAGTCTATATATTCTAACTGGAAGGCTACATAGGCAAGAGAGAAAAGAATCTGTTAAGTGAAATGTATGTGATTATCTTTTTGTGGCCAGCTTCTTTTCATAAGCAGTTATTCTTCTGAATACCAGCACTATGTGGAAATAAGTTTATAAATCTGATTATTCTGTCAGGTTACCACAAAATCAAGTCAACTTGAATTTGCATTTTGAGGAGTTTTTATGCTGTACGGCTTCCACTAAAGCATTTAATTTTTGAAGTGTAGGTTACTATTAATAATCTTCTTTGAGATATAAAGACCAGTTTTTAAATATTTAGATTAATTAGATATTTTAACAATGGAGTACAAAAAGCACAGAAGTTAGGCCAGATTTTTTTTGGTATAGAGAAACTGTACACATTTGTAGTGTACGCATTTGTAGTGTGTATCTGTATATCAGTATACATTTGTAGTGTATATCTTAAGCTGTATACTCTTACTATTGTGATATTGATCTTTCTACATGAATAACTTTTTGCTTTCTTTAGGCTATTGCCTTACCTCCTATAGCCAAGTGGCCATACCAGAATGGGTTTACTTTCCACACTTGGCTAAGAATGGATCCTGTAAATAATATCAATGTGGATAAGGATAAGCCTTACTTATATTGGTGAGAATTATGTAAAACTGTATTTCTAATGTTCAACTTCTATTAATTGTTCAATGGTTTCTACTTCCATCTGTGTATGTGCTGATTTTGTTCTAATTTGTTAGTTTTCGAACAAACAAAGGACTTGGTTATTCTGCTCACTTTGTTGGAGGCTGCTTGATTGTAACGTCTATAAAATCAAAGGGAAAAGGTTTCCAGCACTGTGTAAAATTTGATTTCAAGCCACAAAAGGTGAGTAAAAATAATAAAATCTTTCAACCAGGTTTCATGAATTTAAAAATGTAGCCTGGGGGGGGAGTGTCGTAGCTATTGATTAGGCTCGTTTTTCTGTGTAAGAACAGTTACACTAAAATGAGCAAAACAAATTTGTGTTCTGAATTCTTATTTCTTTTTAATTTTATGTATGAAATGTATAAGAAAGAGCTAGAAAATGCAGTTTACCAGAAGCTTTATGAATTTGTGAGACTTGTGTGAGTTCTCTGAGAACTCTTAGTACATATACACAGCTTGAAAGTTACAAGGCTTGTGATTTTTTCCTTCTCTGTTTATACTGTGTTTTCTCCCACCTCCAGACATTCTCTTCTCCTTTTCCTAAAGGGTTTTGCTAAGGCTCCCCTTTATGTCATTACTTACTCGATGTGGACAAATGCAGTATTATTTTAGGGAAGAATGATTACTAAGCCACATTTCATTTTCCTAATCAAGCTAGGACCATTAATAGGAGTTTGGTCTTCCTGCATGTGGGAGAACAACAGATTCGTTCTTGAAAGTGTGTTCTACTTTGTTCATTTAGGTTGACCAGAAAATAGTCTCCTTGCATTTGGTGCTTTATTCTGTGTATCTTTTTAAATGTAAGAATTAAAGTATGAGTTGATTTTTATTATTGATGTTCAAGGCTTGCGTGCCTATTAAGTAATATTATGCTGTGTTGAAAATGTTTCCTTTTTCAGTTAGATATTCTGTTGATGTTTCTGGAGCAACTGGTGTAAACATTTTGTGGGAGAACAGGCCTACTCAGGAATTTCTTTCAGTAATCCCTTGCTATAAATATGGATTCTGTTTGTGATAATTTGACATGCACAGCCTTTGAAAGTCTTTAGTCTAGAGCCATGCTTGCTCTTTAGAATGACAACATTTGTAGTAGTCCATCATGCTAAGAGTAACCCAACTTAAAACTTATTTACACAGTGGTTTCAGTGTAAATTTGGTTCAGCATTGCCATGAAGATTTTTTGAATTCTATGCCATAAATATTTTTTAAGCTTCTGTGTCTACTTTTTGTGGAAAAAATGGCATATTATCCTTTGACATAGCTATGCAAGAGAACTCACCAATGACTTAATCTTTTTGACTTAAAATAAATCTTTCAATCTTAATTTAATTCACATAAATAGTTGAATTTGTTCTACTATGCCCCAGTTTAATGCTTAAGCTACTTTAAGTGTCTATAGGATTGTCTCAATTGTTTTCTTATCGTTTAGTGGTATATGGTTACTATAGTGCACATCTACAACCGCTGGAAGAATAGTGAACTTCGATGTTACGTGAATGGGGAACTGGCATCTTATGGAGAAATAACATGGTTTGTCAACACCAGTGATGTAAGTAATCCCTGTATACTAATATCTGTAGTTGATCATCTTGATGGATTAATAGATATCCTTTGCCATTTTAGTAGTAAACCTCTCCCATTTTATGCACTTTTAAAAAATGCTGAAATAAAATTTTTGGTAGAGGAGTAGATTCTGCTTTTAAAGATCTCAGAACTTAAAATGTGTTTCTGCTGAGACCCTCAAATGCTTGTTTATGTAAAAATAATATTCCCTGATAATATGTATATTCTTTGCATAGTTTGTTTGTGTAGCATAGATTAAACCCTGTTACTGGGTTCTGTTTCATTTTCAGACGTTTGACAAATGTTTCCTGGGTTCTTCAGAAACAGCAGATGCCAATCGAGTGTTTTGTGGGCAAATGACGTCCGTTTACCTTTTTAGTGAGGCTCTCAATGCTGCTCAAATCTTTGCCATTTATCAGCTTGGTCTGGGATATAAGGTATCTTAGAATTGACTGTAAAGTTTCCAAAGTTTAATTCTGATAAGACTCTTTATGGTGGGTTTTAAGAATGTTGTGACACCTCTATGTTGTTCTAAAAATGTTCTTACTGTGTAATCTTTTTATTAAACTCTTCCATGTTTCTTCTATAAGCCTATGTATCGCCTCACAAACTACAAGTAAGCATTAATTCAATTATTTAATTTCTTATAAAAAATAAATCTGTGTTCCTGTTTACTTCTCAAAATTTCCGTGTTGGTGGTTGGGAGAAGGAGAACACCACTGTTCTCTCTGGCTAGGTTCACTTTTTCATTGAGGCTGAAAACTTTAGATCAAATAAGATGTATTTGTCTTAGAAATGTAGGTTTATAGTTGATTGTGCCAGTCAGTTTTTTTAATGTGTGAAGTTAGTGCTGAGGATTAGTTTTATTGCAGTGATTTATTATTTGTTTTGTCATAGCCTGAGGGGCACTAATTGAAGACTGTTATTCCCTAGCAGCTGTACAAACATACGCTAAAAAAGATGGTTCCTATTCTATCTACTCCTCAATTATTAGTTCCTTCTGAGTGAACATTGCTGACTGTCATTCTGTTTTCTAGCTAATGTGTTGCTTTTACATTACCCACCATTTTGGCAATGTCACTTTTCAGGGGTCAAAAAAAAAAATCTGCAGTTCTAACTCTGACTCAAAGTCAATTTTACAATGTTCTTATGAGATAAGAACTTCTTTCTGAAATATTGCTAGATCGAAGAAGCAATGTTTTAGTCATTTTTTGTCAATAGTTGTCTTCTGAACCGTATTCTCAATGTGTGTAATCTAATTTTTTTTTTCTTTTTTCCTTCCTTGACCCTGCTCCCCAATCTAGGGAACATTCAAATTCAAGGCAGAAAGTGATCTCTTCCTTGCTGAACATCACAAATTGTTATTATATGATGGCAAACTATCCAGTGCTATTGCTTTTATGTACAATCCAAGGGCTACAGATGCACAGCTGTGTCTAGAGTCATCCCCTAAGGATAACCCTTCTATTTTTGTTCATTCACCACATGCCCTCATGCTGCAGGTATTTCAACATTTTCATAGATTTGGAGGATACAAATTATTTCTGTTTGAAAATCTAAAAATCAAGTTTTTTAGGGATTTGGACAAGATAGGGAACTGCTGATAGGTTGGGTTTTTTGGGTTGTCCCTGCTGATACCTCCCCTGTTTCTTGAAGTAATGTGGCTGCACAAGAATCCTAAGAAAAAAGTTTATTTTATCGAAGTTACAACCTACAAAGTATCAGTATTACAAATACTGTGTTAGCTTTTCAGAAAAATCCTTCTTCCTCATTTCTGACATATGTTCACTCCCCTACAGTATCTCCTGTCCTTTGCCCTGTTGATATGATACCCTTTTCTTCCCTATGCTTTGAATGCCTTAATCTTTTAATTTGTCAGAAGCTTTTCATGTGTTCTGTTCTAGAGTTTCTCTATTACTAAAGACTTGTTTTAGAGTTTGCAAGCCACCTCCTGTATATTCATCTGTGGATCTATGCTGTAGACTCTATCTAAAGCAGTAGGTCATCCAGACTGGGCATTTAGTGTGGCTGTGGCAGCCAGTTTGTACTTCTTGCTGTTTCTTTTTATTTGGTAATAATACAATTTTTATATTGAAGAACTTTCAAACTATTTCTAACAAACCTTTTAACAGTTTCTGAAGGAGATTTCAATATGTCTTAATTCTTCTTTGTCAGGATGTGAAAGCAGTCTTAACGCATTCTATCCAAAGTGCCCTGCACTCCATTGGAGGCGTGCAGGTACTTTTCCCTCTCTTTGCACAGTTAGACTATAGGCAATATTCATCAGACCACATTGACACGACTGTTTGGTGAGTGCATGTACTTACTGTGTTCTGTTCTTTGTTTCTCTTTAAGTAAAGGAAATTACCTCTTGCTTTATTAAGTGGCATAGTGGTTTAAATTGTCTTGTGCAACAATGAATCATGTCTAACAACAAAAAGGTGGCCTTGTTACAGGCAGGACCTCAAAGTGAAGTGTTTTTTTGTACCAAATTTTCTATGAAAGTTCGTTCACACAGAATCAAAATGTTTACATATTTTCTATTTCACAATTTTTTTGTGTAACAATTACAGTCAATTCTCTTGAGCTTATTGCTGTCATGGAGAAAATCTGCTGGGGAAGGCTTCAAGAAAAACTCCAGGAAGGATGAATTTTTCAGCTACATGAAGTTATTCGTTGGAATTTTTTTTCAGACTTTTTGGAAGATACTGTTATTCAGTTTTACTGCCAGGCTTTTCCTCTGGTTTCAGCTCTGTTTCAACTCAGTCCAACTTCTGAACATCCAGGCACAGAAACTGGTGGAGCTCCTGAGTTAGAGTAGTATTAATAGCAAAGGGATTGCTTTTAAGAATCCTGGTGTGGTTTGCTCTATTTCATTGCAATTGTAGTTTCATGACTGTTTAAAGATGATCTACATCCATATTGTTGCTAAGAAGGGGTGGTAACAATGTTCCTTCAGCCCATTTGTACATTCCTGGGCCTCTCTTGAGCCGGCTCAGGCTTGGGCATCTATGTAATGAGTCAGGGATTTGATTCAGTTGCAAACTGGCCCAGCAATAGAGGGTTTTTCAGCTGGCTAAGGTCTTGATTCATAGGCACTAGTGCTGTGACACAAGGGGAAGGGCGTGAACATTCCTTCTGGCAGCAGCACAGAACTGAATTAGCTTGAACCAATAGTAAAGCTGTGTCTGGAAAAATATTTCCAATATCTGGTCATCTGAAAGCAGTAGGAAGTGGAATGGCATTTGTTACTGATCTTGCAGAAGTTTGTCAGTGAAATACGAAGCAGAGAGGAGTATACACTTAACTGTCGCCTTTCTGCAAGAATGTATTTTCAGAAAAATTTTGCTATTGCACAGTTATCTCAGAATCCAGAATTTCAAGTTAGAAATGCATTGATTAAAAGCAAGAAGTTAGAGCTTTCGAAATTTAGTCTGGCTTTTTGTTTTAAAAATTCTGATCTGAGCATTTATATAACATATTAAATGTATCTCTGGGCTGTGTGATAGAAATGTTAATTTGGAAATACTTTCTGTCTTGTTGTAACACTTTAAAACATTTTTCTTTATTAAAACATTATATTTTTCAGTTCTACTTTATTGGCTTTCATCATGGAGTTGTTGAAGAACTCCATTGCTATGCAAGAACAGATGCTTTCCTGTAAGGGCTTCCTTGTGATAGGATATAGCCTAGAAAAGGTAAAGCAAATATTTCTTGATGTCTTACATTAATATTGAATTTTTTTGAGAGAAATACTTTTGCTAGACTGTTGCAGGGCTCTTCCTTAAGCAGATCTTCTTTTACAGTCTTCCAAAGCCCATGTTACCCGAGCTGTACTAGAACTTTGCCTTGCCTTTTCGAAATACCTGAGCAACTTACACAATGGGGTGCCCTTGCTGAAGCAGCTGTGTGATCATGTTCTCCTTAATCCTGCAATATGGATTCATATCCCAGCACAGGTAAAATTGCTTATTCTTATGAATAAGGTATCTTATGATGTATCAATTTGGGAGTGTTGAGACTAAGCCTGGACTTCAAGAATTATAGGTCCTGGCTCCCCTGCAGAAATCATACATGTTTTCAGACTCTGCTTTTCTGCATGTAGCTGTCAAGTTTTGCAGACTCCCAGTGTTTTCAGGGAGTTTGGAAACCTGCAGTGTTCTGCAGAGCAGAGCTAGGAGTGACTTCTGGAGTCCCTGACCTAGTCAGTGTTGTAGATTGAGAAGGAATTTTGGATGGGTTGGTTAGCAAAAACCTGGCAATTTTTAAGAGAAATTATCCTGAGTGTCAGGTTTGAAGTCTTCATTTAAATTGACATATTCCCTGCAGAGTATTTTTGTTTTGGTGAATCTGTGTTCTCTGAGAGCAGACAGCTTGGATGGAAACTTTCCAGTTGGTTCTACTTGAAACCTTCTTACCAGATTTTTTGATCCCCTCCATAAGGGTTTGTTTTGCATTTCAAAAACTGAGACAGCACTAACACTGCTACTGTTGAAGTCATTGTAAAACATTTGTTTGCTACAGCTAAATTACATTATTAAGTTTTATTTAAGTGATATTTCTCAGAAGAAAAAGGGAAAGAAGATATGTAAATAATTAAGCCTATAATGAATACTTAAGCCTATAATAAAAATGCACCTTTCTTTAATACTTCCTGTGTGACCCTGTTCTGAACAGAGAGGTTGGACTAGATGATCTCCAGAGGTGCTTCCAATCTCAGCTATCTGTGATTGTGTGAAGACCATGCTTTCATGCTCCTGTAAGCGTGGACCAGCTTAAAAAAAAATCACAGCACTCTATAGTTTTAGAAATAAAATAAAATTTTTCATCAGTTTGCAAGGGTTTTAAGAGCTTTGTTACTGAGCTATGCAGAGAAAATTTATTTCTTTAAGACATTTTAATAGATGAAATTTAAGAATGCAGTTGTCTGATGTGCTGCAATTTTGCTGTAATGATTTTTGATTTCATGATTGGGTGTTGTAGGTTCAGCTGATCCTGTACACTTACCTGTCTACTGAGTTCATTGGCACTGTTAACATATATGGTGCAATCCGGCGGGTTGGGACAGTTCTTTTGGTCATGCATACCCTGAAGTATTATTACTGGGTAGCGAATCCTCAGGATCGCAGTGGTATAACTCCCAAGGGCATAGGTATGTATTCATTTCTTCTTTCACAAGCTGATATTTGTTTTTAAAAAATGTTGTATACAATGTATAGAATAGAACTGTAAATGTTCAGAAAGAATTCTATTTTAATGGGGTGGGTTCACTGTAACAGTTTGAGCAGTGTGCTTTTGTCCATAGGATATTCTTGAAAGCTTTTTTTCACAATCTAATGGAAACTTTCTTCAGAAGTCATATCCTCTGTCATCAAAGACCTAGTTCTCTCTACTAGATAGAACTGGTCAGAGAAATGGTAGGGTTTTGGAAGTGTAGAGCTGTGCCTGGGAATGTGGTCTCTTTATGGAGCTTGTTCAAGTACTGGACAGTCTTTAAGTGCTTGTAAAATCTATTGGTAATAGCAGTATTGCTGAAAACAGGCATACTGAGTCTATCTGACAGACATAGGGATCTGAACTTGTTGGAAAACTGCTTAATAAGCATGCTTAATCGAGACAGCGAACTCACGGCGAAAGAAGTAATGAGAAATTTAGAACACGTGTTTAGTACTTGTCATGGACACGGAACACAGAAGAAGAATACTGATCGTAAGAAAAAAGCAAAGGGAATAGCTGCTTGTCTAAGAAATCCAGTACTGTAAAAGGAACTCGGAGAAGTGCAATGTGCACCAGCATAACATAAATATGTGCAGATGGAACTGGCATAGATAAGGGAATTAATGCTATTTGGAAGTATGACTATGGCTCTTCTAATTGTTGTTCTGTGTTTTATGGGGTTGGGCACACAGCGTTGGCAAAGGGAGAATAATTTACATCTCTACTGTCTCCTGTAATGAAGAAAGGCTCTGAAATTTTGGAGAGAGAAGCAGGTGATGAAAGAGAGCTAGATATACTGGGAGTGAGTGCTCCTTAGTTGTGTCTGACTTCCTGCCACCAGCTTCTCAAAATGACCAACCCTTCCTTTTAGAGGTTGCAAAGGTTGTTTTGTAGTATTTTGCGTCCTGTAAGGAGCAAAGCACGTGTGTTTTTTCTCCTTTCCTTTTTAGTGAAGACATGGATTTACTTAATTAGTTTCTGAACTGATTTATTGAGCCTGAGGCAAGTGTGTGTGTAGGATAGTCTTACTAATACAGTTTAATGGCTTATTTTGACTAGACCGGTCTATATTGAAAATAACTGTTCTTAAACCAAATATGCTTGTCGGCCTATTCTGTATAAAACCAGACTCGTATGATCACTTACATTTGCTAGATGATTTGCTTTTTCCTGATGATTAAGATCATAAGAACTGTGAACCTATGAGCGAATGTAAAAACTATCCCTGGAAGTGTATTTGCAACGATTCATTTGCTTTCTTTATGAAAGCTTTTACTTGGTTTTGACATTTGGTTGCACCTGTTTTTTTAACCTTGCGTCTCCTGGGAACTAGTCGGTGTTTGAGTATTTAAAACATTTCAGTGAAAGTCTGCTTTACACAGGAATGGCCTCAGCAAGTCCTTTTGACTTTGAGTTAACAAATTAAGTCATGGCTTTCAAGGTAATCTTTATATATAGTGTTGTAAGATTGACTTTTGTTGTGTGTATAGCCAATGTGTAATAATGGCATGTAGTTCTTCCTTTGAGCTTCAGCAGAAGAACTTTAAAAACAATAGTAAACTGCAAAAATTTGAAATCTGGAAATTCTGACAGAAAGTTCTCATATCAGTCTTATTCCTTGCATGAAGTTGGTTCATAGACACTGCAAGGAAGTGCTAAAATCATGAAAAGAATTTAGAGGGGTTTAGAAAACTATATTTAATAAAAGCCTTAGAACCACACTGGTTGGGCATTTTACTAATAAACAGTGATAAAACGCATTACTATTTTGTAGTCTGAAGTGGAGGAAAGATAACTTTACTTAAAATGTGCCCTCTTCACTCAGAAAATGCCTTCTATTTTTCTTTATGTGAAAATACATACTATGCTAATAACAACTGTTAATTTCCATTTCATATATCTACTTTTCTTTTGTAGACGGGCCACGGCCTACTCAAAAAGAGATTTTATCTCTGCGAGCATTCCTGTTGATGTTCATTAAACAGCTAGTGATGAAGGTAGGATAACTTTAAATTATGATAGGATATCTAAGTTTCCTCTCATAAAGAAATGCTCTTTAATATAGCATTTTTTTTCTAAGCATGTTGAATTTTGTAAACAAGTAAGTAGATAGAAATACCATGTAAGGTGCATCTTTTTGTTGTGGCTCGTGCCACAGACAGCAGTGCTGAAGATGCATTTTTCTCGCTTTTAAGCTGTTTTTATCAAAAGTGGAACTGTTAAATCATTAACTTAGAAATGTTTATTACTGGGGAATTAAGTATTTGATTACTTTTTTTTTTGACAAGAACAATATCACCTGCATCAGAAGTGTTTAAAGAGCAACATTTGACATTATATGCTGTGGGACAGAGGAGAAGAAGAAAGACTCTATCAATAAGTTTCACAACTGTTTGTTAGACATTAGAGGAATATTGAAATTCAGCAGTTCTACTACTTGTAGACTCTTCTTAACCCTTTCCTATTGTAAGCTCTGATCTCTCTCTTCTTCTCTCCCTTCTGTCAACTGACTTTTCTGTGTTTGAATCTAGCTCCCTTTTCCCTTCTTCCTCTGCGTTGCTAAGGGACCAGTATGCTCTCTGTGCTGCTACCTTTAGCCCCAGCAGTATGGAGGAGTAACTACCAGAAAAGTTCTGCTCTTGACTCTTCTCTTTCTTAAAATTGGATGTTCTGCAATTGAAGTATCAGGGACAATTTAGCTATCAAACTCTAAAAGACTTCCATTAAGTGTTAGCTTCATTTTTATTTATTTTTTAAAAATTTGTGTGTCAGAGATTTATAACTTGGACAGTTTTGGATAGAGCTTCACAAGGACAGTAAAAAGCATGTCCATCATAAAAGGTTGATTCTTCTGCAGATTTTCTATTTGTACACAGTGGTGCAAAATCTTTTCGGGAAATGAGAGACTTACTTTAAAAAATAAAAGCCCTAGAAATGAAGAAGCCTGCTTTTCCCTTCCCTCATCCTGTTCTTAGAAACTGTTGGTTTTTATTTTATTTTCACCAAAAAGACCTCAAGGCATATTCCTGACATAGACACCATAAATGATTTAAATTTCTGCAAAGTTGATAACAACTGAAGATCAGATTCTGTAGTGGAAAATAAGAAGCAAACTCAGCTGTAGGCATAGCTAACAGGCCTATAATTAAACATCAAGGCCTACTTTTGAATCTTCTTTGCCACCTTAATTTAATTCTTCTATTAATAGGAAGCTCTCAGTTCAAATTATCTGTATCAATTAATGTGTTACTCTAACAATTTCATGTACTATATTACTATCTAGTTTATTTTTATGCCTGTATTGGAGTTGTCTTAAAGCATTTTTATAACCTTCAGTGCGTATTTTTTGGGCAGGGAAAAAGCTACCTTCCATCTATGAAGCTATTATAGTACCAAGTGAAAACAAATTTGTCTTGTGGGACTTGCTCTGTGTATAACCATTGCTTGTAATAATGCTCTTTTGGGAACAGTACTTTTGTGCTTGAAAGATGATAGTTAAAACCTGTTTGTTTTTAAAGGACTATGGAATAAAAGAAGATGAATTGCAGGCTATCCTCAATTATCTGCTCACTATACATGAGGTAATTTTTAGTTTGGGGGGTGTGTGGGAGAAGAGGAGTACTACTGCTGTTTGTGACCACCAAGTATTTGAATATTTTCAAATATTACCTTCTTTATGCCACAAGATGGCTCTGTAGAGGAAGTAGCAAACGTTGTCCAACTCTTTAATGTAGTGTGCTGAATTGCCAGTATTCTTGCAGTGATTTAAGCACTATGTTCAATGTTAGATTGAAGTTCATTAAGCCAGTAAGTCAAAATGGTTTCTTATGTTGTTCTGCAAACCGATTTACCAAGCAGAAAAACAGATGGTGAGACTGACTTTAAAAAAAAAAAAAGACAAAGCCTTGTTTTATGCTGCCTAAGTAATATTTTTTGTTTTGTTTTTCTCTCCTTTTTATTTTGCTTCTTAAATAAAGCAATAAAATTGAGAACATGCATTAAAAAATAAAGATGTATGTTAATGGCAAGTAAGAGAAGCATATAAACTTAATTGGGAGAAAATGTTGGTTACCACTGATACATCTGCATCTTCATATTTTAGCACCGGGAAAAGGCACTTTATGCCAGATGCAACATCAAAGACAAGGGAAATGGGGACATAAATCTAACTGATCTCATCTCTCTAAGGGTGCTTGAAATGGGTAAAATAAGGAATTAATTGAACTTCACTTCAAGCAGTATGGATTTTTTTTTTTATTTGTTTACACCTATATTTTCATTTTATTCTCTGTGCTGGTTACTAGTACTTGGTAGTACCATGGTCAAGCAATTTAAGTCATTCTACTTTATATGTACATGTAAAAAATAAGACTCTTGGTAACATGTAAGAGTAAACCAAAATGGCAGAAGCTTTATATAGCCTTCAGATGAGGAGATGATATTTTAACTATCTTAGCAGTTTGCATGGTCAAGTGTAAAAGATCCATGAGTGCTGAATCCCACAGAATTAGGTATCTAGTTGTAAATTCAGAAAAATATCAACAAAAAAAGTAAAATTCAGCCTTCTCATAGGGCTCATTCATCAGTGATAGCATCTGTAATGTAAGCTAATAATATCATCAGGTGAACACAGTTGTTCACGGGGTGTAAAACTGGTTTTCTAATGGAGAAAGAATCAGAATATTTGTTCAAAAATGTTGGAAAGTTTGTTTTTGGTTTGTTGTTGTTGTTTTGGGGTTGTTTGTTTTTGTTTTCTTTTGTTGTTGTTGTTTTTTTTAAATCTTTCATTTTAATACCACAAAGAATGGGGAAAAAAGACAGTTGCATTTTGCTACTTTGTAGGTTATTTTTAGTTGTAATTAACTTAGAACAAATTAATAAACTGTAGTGTAGAGTGCTTTAGACTAATAGTATGGAAAACTTTACTGAGCAGCTTGAATTACCCATTTTAAATGTCGTCTGTGGCAGGTGGTGGTATTTTTTTGTTTGCTGGGGTGGACATTTGTTAGTAGAGATTTTGCATTAAACGCTACCCTGTGCCCCAGAAAATGTGCAGCAGTTTATTTCTAGCTCCTGTGCAGTAAAAGAAGGGGGAAATATACATGCAAACAGATGAGCATGTGTGTGGCAGGAAATAGCATAGTCCAATAGTCCATTCCCTGTCAAAGGCTTACATCCCAGGCACAGATGTATCACTTTTCACTCTAAAAAATAAAGTGGTTTTTTTGGGTTATATTTTCTTCTGCACTTGCCTTCCAGATCTATAGCTCTTTTGATCCTGGCCTAATTGTTTTGGTCCTTGGTTTACTATTACTCTCCAGATCATTTTGAAATGTTTTGTAGTGGTTCTTTTAACCAAAACAATGTTCTAGCTTACATGCATTTTTAATTCAAATTTGTAACTTTTATTCAACAGGATGACAATCTAATGGATGTCTTGCAGTTGCTTGTTGCTCTGATGTCAGAGCATCCCAGTTCTATGATCCCTGCTTTTGATCAGAGGAATGGATTACAGTAAGTTTGAATTTTCTAAGTGGGCAAAAGGAAATAGTATTTTGACCATACTGTTACTTGCTAGAATTCCCATGAAATCTGAAAGGTCCTCATCAGTGTATGTGTTGCAATCTTGGACTCCTCATCTTGGGAGATTTTTGTGTCCAGGTGTTCTTTTGACATGAGGTGATGTTGGATTTATTATCAATGGGGTCTTTTTTTTTTTTTTAATGTTTCCAAGCCGTCAGTCACGCTTAAACAGGTAGTGATCAATTTGAGTTCGTCTATACATTGACGTTAAGTCTTCATCAACTAGCGCTTAGTCTTTAGCCTCTCATTCTTACATATGTTTTAGAACTGAAAGTGGGCTGACAAAAATTGGTTCAGATTTCTTCTGACCTTTGTTAGCTTTCTTTCCTTTTTTTTAAAGTGTAAAACATTATGGGACTTTTGCAGAAGAAACCTTTTATTTGTTTAAATTTAGCACTTTGTGATATGGATTGTTCACGATCTCTTTTTCCCAACAAACAGAAAAATATTGTTTAACACTATTGTGAGAGAAAAGGAGGGAAAGTAGCAAATTCTACTAACAGTAAAAGCAGATCTTCTAGAAAAAGACTAAGTTATGACTCGGATTTTGTGTTGTGGCTCTCAGAGGATGGTCACGTTATTGAACTTTTCTAATTTCAAATGAACCTGCCTGGACATAGTGGGGGGAAAAATTGGAACAGGGAAACAAATGTAAAAACTATTCCTAGAAGGGTATGTGGAGTAGTAATTCTCTCGCTGTGTAAAGGCAGAGTCTCATTTCATACATTTTGTTGCACCTATTGGTTAACCCCTATTTATACATATATTTTTTTCAGTTGCCCTTTCTCAAGAGACAACATTCAGGCACGTTCATAATTGTTTTCTCCCCTTTTAGTGCTAGGCTGATTTTTTTTTTTTTTTTTTTTTACCCATTTTCTTCAGCTTTGATTTCATTTGTATGGTAATGTATTATGCTATGGGAAACTAATAAAAAACTCTAAATAATAAAGTATTTGAATGTCACGTTGGGTCTCCAATGCAATATGTTTGTTTTTATTTAACAACTGGCAGTAGACATTTTCATTTTTATTAACTAGTATATGGGCAAGTCAGAATGAATAGCGAGTCCACAGTGAGAAATCACTTTGTTTTCCTGTCTCATTTGTTACACTCCTTGCTCCTGTATTGTCTCCAGTCACTTAGCGGGTTGTTTGTATGCTTATTGATACATCTACTTTTTGCAATTAAAACACTATATTCTTCAAATTTAAAAATAATTTTACAAAGCTTTATAAATATTTGGAGTTTTATAATAATTACAATTTTTAAAGTAGCTAATCTACTGAAGAAATAATAAGTGTAAGGAAATATTTTTTTCCTAAGCAATTAGGTAACCCTCATACTGTTCTGTTAAGACAAGCAGGGAAATGGAATATATTGCTTGAAAGAATATTGTATCATGGGCTTGCTCATTTGTTTGATTCTGTAGTTGCTATGGCTGCAGCTTTCTCCAGGATAAGTTATTCGTTATAGATAACTGTTTTTTAATCACTCCTGGGTTTTCACTTAAATTCTAGTATAGAACTAGATTTTTTGTGTCTTAGTTTAGGTGTCCTGGGTAATATTTTTAGGTATGTAAAAGTGAAGGAATATATAACTAGTGACGAGTGCTCAGTTATGTATAGATAAGGCCTAAAAACTTGAATAAGTCCTTTAAACTCTTTACAACTGGCTGATCTAAAATGCAGTATTGTAACATGGGATATTTTTGTAAAGACTCAAGAATCATTGAAATTATATTTCCTCCCCCAATAAAGTGATACAGATTTCCTCAAAAATTTATTCAGAAAATATTCATAGCAAAGGCTGAGTACTGTGCCTTCTGTTCCAATATAATTTCATGGAGCATTAGGAAATTAATCTTTTCTTTTTTTCAGAGAGAGCTTAGTAGTCCGTGTAGGTATAAGCTAAATCGTATTTCACAAACTCAAAGATCTGTCCAATACCATGAACTGTAGCCTAACTAAAATCAGATAGTGACATGGTCATAAGCACTTTACTGTCTAAAAAGTAAGCAATGAATGAAATTAGATGTAACTGATAAATACATTTAGATGTCTTATGTTGTTATGGGAGATTTACAAGGATCAAAAACTTGCATTTGTTATTCTTCACATTGACAGAAGGCCAATATTAGAATTTTTCACTGTGTAAATAAACTTCATTAAATAAAAGATTAAGCTTTAATGTACTGCAAATAAATGTTTGAGAAGTTAAGATTAAATATTAGTCTGATTTCTTTTTATTCTGGGAGTGGAAGGCATAGATACACATGATGAGATCTGTGCAGTATTACAGATTGAATTGGTAATGTTTTTTTAAATTTTTATTTATATTTAAGGTTATTTAAGGGTATTTATTTTAGGTTGTTTAAGGTTATTTAAGGTTATTTATTTTTATTTGTATTTAAGGTTACTGGACACTTCCCACTGTAAGACACTACTTCCAATTGTTTATTAATTTACCAGATTTTCATCAGTTACATTGACACTTTTGTTGCTGTGTTTGTTAACACTCTCATTTTCTTTCTTGGGAAAACTTCAGCGAGAACTGTTCAGCTAGTTAAGTCTAGTACTTTGCTATAGACATGCCCCTCGCTCCCTTCAGCTTTTCTTAAACCTTCTTAGTGGAGAATCATAAGTGGGTGTAGAGCATAAGGAGATGAAGAGCAGAAACCGATATAGGTGAAAGGAGAAGAATGCCTCCTGACTTGGTGTCTTCCTCTATCCCTCCTAACAGACCAAAAGCATGCGCAGATGTCAAATATTAGTGCTAGTAATAAATCCCCCTCCATACATGGCCATTCCTATCCCGCCACATTTATACTAAAACAATTGCTTGCTTAGTTTTCTGAATAGAATATGAGATTAAGACAGTTCTCAATATAGGGATTGCAGCAGCCTTTCACAGCATGTTTTATGTATTGGTATTGGGAAGATACTTTGATTAAAAATGTCTAAATGTAATTATAAAATGTGAAATCACAAACTATTGTGCCGTTAACAGAAACGTTAGTCTTATTAATAGTCATTCTTTTAAATTAGGCTCAGATACAAATTTATTTGCAATCTACTGTGGTTAATTTGTCATTCCAAAAATTGCTGTGTATTTCAACTCTTTTAGGAAGCCTTATGTTTTCTCCATTTAGGGTTGTCTACAAGCTTTTAGCATCACAAAGTGAAGGCATCAGGGTGCAGGCTCTAAAAGTGATGGGATATTTCTTAAAGCATCTCGCTCCAAAGTAAGTACTGGTTTAGGTCTTAAAACAAACTCCCCCAAAAAAGAAGGAAAAAAGGTAGGCTGTGATGCATGCAGGCCATATATTATTTAGTGTATATATTATTTCGTGTGTATATATACACACGTTTGTATGTAAAGTAAAAAAAGCTATATTGGAGGTTAATCGCTAAATATCCTCCACTGAATAGGAGCTACTGTTCTTCAAGTACCCTTCAATTTGCTTGTCACTAGTATATTTCTAATGTGGTGGAATTTCTTTGATTGGCAACTAGTGTCCAAGCATTATCACTTCCTTACCAAGTTCATTTAATACTTACTTGCAGTATGGCTGCCTGCTTTTTAAAGTGGTCTTTTTCCATAATTCCACTGAAATGGGTAGCAAGAATTAGATTGAACCCCGTGTTACTTACTGAGAACTAGATTTAATGCGTCTCAAGTTGAGTACAATAATAGATAACTATTGAGATCGCTGTCCATGGTTGTATTTTTGAGTGAAATGAGGACAAAGATGCCCTTTCCTTAGTGTTTATCAAGAAATCCCTAAGGGGGTGTTTCAGCTTTTTGGGCCCATGGGTGAGTGGACCGCATTTATGGAAGAAAGTTAAGCTGTCTTCTGTCTGTCTTCAGGGAATGACTTGTCCTTTCAGAATTTGAATCCTTGCCCTTTTCCTTGACCAAAAGTGAAAGACTTAAGGAACAAAAAGAAAAAGATGTTTCCAGTGATTTCATATTTCTTAAGGCACACTTTTTAAACTTTTGGTTTTTTCCCCCTAAAGCAAGTTGAATACATAAGTTTATTTTATCTTTCTGTACTGTTTTAGGAGAAAAGCTGAAGTCATGCTTGGACATGGATTGTTCTCTTTGTTGGCTGAAAGGCTGATGCTTCAGACAAGCTTAATCACCATGACCACATACAATGTCCTATTTGAGGTAGTAATATACTGTAGTTAGGATCCAATCTTCCTAATTACTTGTAAGACATTGTTAGAAAATTGCTTACATATTTGTGCTGATATGTTCCAGATGACATTAAACCTTAGTGTGATGCAGCTGAGTGCTGCTTCCCCCCCCTGCCAAAGCTCACTACTTGAGATTCCCCCCTCCCTTAACTTGGTTATGCTCATTATGAACAATTCTAGATAATGAGTAACCCGAATGTCTCAAGCAGACACTCATATATATGTGGAATTTTATTATAGCAATGATCTTGCCTTATGATGATTGTTTTGGTTAGATTCAGGTTTCTCTTCCAGTGTATTTAAAATAACAGTGTTCACTTAAGAGAAAGCAAAAAAAATAGTTTAGAGTAAAATTTTAGGAACAGGATGAAATAAAGTATCAAGAAAGAGAACAAGTGGGTTTTTTGGATAATTTTTAGAATCATTGTGAAATAACGATAGTGCTGTATGAAGGATGTATCCAGCTATTTTTTGGTAAGCTGTCTTAATGAACGTTGATACGGCATCTTCTTCTTTCTTGCTAGATTCTGACTGAACAGATTTGCACTCAAGTGATACATAAACAACATCCTGACCCAGATTCAACAGTGAAGATACAAAATCCTCGTAAGAATGATACACATTTCTAAGTGCTGTCATAAGAAAAGTCTGCTCTAAAAAAAAAAAAAGAGAAAGCTTATTAATTACATCCACCAGTCTTAATTCTGATCTCGGTTTTACATAGTCTTTCATACAAATATGCGTTTAGTTGGAGTTATTTAGGAAGTATGTCTCTCTAGCTTTTTGAAAGACGTTTTATGTGTCTAAATGTGTATGTAGTTCATAACTCACCCTTTTTGGCTGTGCAGTCCTGCTACGAAATGGTTTTTCAAGACTTGCACGCACAGGATACTTTGATTTAATACATGTTAAGGTTCCAGCAAAATTCTGATTGCATTATTTAGTGATGTCAGACTAAATTACCTGAAATATGGAAACAGCCTTCATCTTAAATTACATTCAGTACAACAACGCTAGATGGAAAGTAGGAGAAATGTTTCTGCTCACTGTTTTGGTTAGCTTACTTTATGGGAAATATCTTGATATGAAACTTCAGATGTCTTTTGAACTAAGAGAAAATACTGATCTCCTTTCCTGAATTATATGCATTACTAATGTGCTCTGTATATAATACAATGGACTTATGATAGCTTTGGGAGTTCATTTTTTCTGGAGAAATAATAGATTTTTCACTTTCGTAGCTGCTTTGTCATTAAATGTAGGTCATAGTTGTGGGTTTGCTTCATGTGGAAAGTGGGGGAAGAGAAAGGAAAGCAAAGCAGATACAGAGGAAAGAAATCTGGTTGCAGTATGTCATTTGCCTTCTGGTAAATCTGTATGAAGCAAGAAATGTGAGGAGATTTCTGTTACTTTCTCTGAAGATTTTTGAAGTTGGCAGTCACTGCTGTGGTTAATACAGATTATTTGTAGTGTGAGGTATGAGTCTGGAATTATCTAGGTCTAGTAGGAAGAGTGACTTCTAGAGTACCTTTTTAAGATCAGTGCTAATATTATCAAATAAGGAATTTCTCTTTTTAAAGAAATTGTAGAAGGTGAACTGAAACTATCACAGTGACCGTGTTCAAATTGCACCCTAATTTATTTACAAAGTTAACTTTTTTTTAAGTAACAAGAACAGTGACTGCCCCACTGGTTCAAAAAGTGGAATGTACCCACAATTTCGACTGTCTCCTAAAAATACAGAAAACATTATGCTCATAAGAGATGAAATTTTATATCAGGAAGGTTTTGTCCCCTTTCTCAAACTTTTTTTTAATAACAGAAATTGTTAAATATAATCAGAAGTTGTTCATATTCTTCGAAAATTCAGTATTAAGGTGGAGCAAATGGATTTTTCTCATATATTGATTTATAACGGATGCATTGTATTATGTGAACTTCCTTAGAAAAAGCTTCTGATGGATTCTGATAGCTTGTCGTTTGTCATGCAGTAACATTTGTGTTGCTTAAACCTAATAATTAAAAAAAAATTTCAGAGTAATTTAACTTGGATTCCATTTTCTTCAGCTGTATAGGCCTGCAAATCCCCCTGATGGTGACCAGGTTTGAGAAGTTTTGGAAGAAGGGATTTGTATTAGTTAAACCTACTCAAATAAAGATGTGCTTTTTCTCAGTATAAAACTTCTTTATGTAGCATCACTTTTCTTGTGCAAACAATATTGGAAGATGTCCTGTATTTTATGCTGTGCTTAGTACTAATATTTTGTTGTTTGTGAACTGTTTTACAGAGATTTTGAAGGTTATTGCAATCCTGGTACGTAATTCTCCACAGTGTCCAGAAACTCTGGAGGTTCGGCGAGCCTTTCTCTCAGATATGATTAAACTTTTTAATAACAGCAGAGAAAATAGGAGGTAAGATAGCTTGCTATATGCACATGTATACGAAGTAAGTAACAAGGTCTCCTAGTAAATTAGAGATCTCATTAAGGAGATATAGCTTCATTGCTGTTCAGCAAATTCTGTACTCTACTATAGTCTTCAATATGTAAAATTAGAGAAGCTTGCACATAGCAATTGTTTTAAACATGTTGAATTCCTGACTTAGGTGATGTATATTTCTAAGATATATTTTGAAATTTGATTAAATAGCATGTGTGTTTTGCAGGAGTTTGTTGCAGTGCTCCGTCTGGCAGGAGTGGATGCTTTCCCTTTGCTGTTTTAATCCGAAGACTTCTGAGGAACAGAAGATAACTGAAATGGTGTATACCATATTTCGAATTTTGCTCTACCATGCAATCAAATATGAGTGGGGTGGCTGGCGTGTTTGGGTGGATACACTGTCGATCACACATTCAAAGGTGAGTGTTTGAAATAGTTGGGAAATTTTGTTACGCTGTGTAATTAGATTTAGAGCCTTAAAGTGCTGTATCATACAGTGAGATAGTCTTGAAATGAAGGTCAGTAGTTAAATAAGCCCAGTGTTTATACCTGTTACTGGGCATAACTTTCAAATATTTGACAATTAAATGTTAACTTTGCTGTTTGAACACAAATCTTTTTGGTTTTGCTCAAATTGTGATAGTATTAGTTTATACTGAAAATGGCACATATTTTCAAAAATGAGATAATCAAATTTCAGGAGCATTTCTGAAAAATTTTAATGCTGGTTTTGGTTTTTAATAATGGCATGAACACAAGGTGGCGCACCATATCTATTCATAAACAAAAATGCCCTTTAGTAACATCAAAAGGCTGTAAAACAAACCAGTAAAAAGCTAAGAAATCAAAGTTAAGACAGATGCTTCAGCTGTTAAGCTGTCATGGAATACAGGGTGAGAATGCAAATCCTTGCAGTATGAATGAGACTATTACCGTTCATTATTCTTCTGTCTGATTTTTTGTTGTTGTTACAACCAGAATTATGTCATAAAAGTTACTAGTGGATCTTCGAACAAGACACGGTAGTATAAAAGATAACTGCCCTGCCTTATTCTGAACAAAAGAGTGAGGCCAGTGTAGGCCTCATAATTGTTTTGGTTTATCAGAAGTATTTACTTAAAATTAATTAAATTATAAATAATAATTTTCTAAATGTGTGCAACTTAAACATGTGAAAAGGACATCTGTGAATCCTAAAGATCACTTCATGATTCTAAGGAATTGTTAGCATTTCTGAGGTCCTTGATTTTGTGTTAATTTTTTCTCAAAAAAGTCAGTCTCTGCAGACAGCAAGAATACTGTTATTTTGCAACTCTGTTTATTTATCGCATTCATAGCTCAATGGTGGATTATTGGGCTATGGAGAGACAAATGTAGAAATCTATATAATAAAAGTGTATGAAATAATATCATTAAATAGTCACTTAGCTAAATGGAATCCAGGTGCAAAGGAACCAGGGCCAAATTTTAACCCTTACAGAGATTGCATTTTAGTTTTTGAAATATCCTTAATCTTCTTTTGTGTTGGGTCTGCAGTCTTTAAAAAACCTGTTTCTGCTCTTTCCCCCAAGATGCAGAGGGTATGGGTGGAGTAGATTGTATGATGGCAAGCTGTAGCCAAAGTAAAGATCCCTAATGTGCTTTTATAGAAACTGGCATAATTTAAAGCATTTCTGTGATTGCTGGGAATTGCTGGGGAACTGTCCTGGGGAAAGATGGAGAGGTGAGTGAAGGAAAACCACCTTTCTACCTCTGTTATACAGAGCTTTGGTGTATTGAATTTAAAAATTATCTGGCACATTATCTTATAAGCTGTAGTTCTACTCTTAGACTCTTTTTGTAAGATAATGTAATGTCGGAAATCTCATTTAAATAGCTTCTATGTCAAAATGATTATATGGATTTTTGGTCATTATCTTCAGTGACTTAATGTGGCTAATCAATGGTTTAGAGTTCATAGAGGAAAACCCAAGATTTTATTGTGATGCCACGGCCAAATGTTAAGGAAAAAGAACCCCAGTTTTAGAAAATACAAAAAAAATTGAGGTACAGATAATGTTACTTTTGTTGTTTTTGTTTTTGTTTTTTCCCAAAAGGCTGTATGTTTTTGCGCAACACCATAGTGAATGAGAAAATGACATGCTTCACTCTTTGTGTTTCTCAGTTTTGGTTCCTGGCATGCTGGCATAGTGAGGTATCCTTGATTGTAGAAGTAACTTCCTGTATCAGTTTTCCCAAGTCTAACTTTGTTGACTTTCTGGTCAATATGTAAGGACTGTTTCTTCCAACCTACTTCAGAGGAAGTTGAACAATGGCAAGGTTAGAAGTGTGTGAGAGCGGGCAGAGCTAGCAGCAGAGTGGTGTTGTAATTTTGAAGGAATCACAAAGGAGTTCCCTTTTTTGGACATTGGTGCTAGTATTATCCAGTTCCAGAAGCCTAAATGAAAATGATTAAACAACAAAAGCACCCAGAAACTAGCTTAACAGTAGTGATATGAATGATGACGCAATAGTCAAGGATTTTAAAATTGAATATATTCACCTTTGTTATGCATTTGCTGTTTGAACTTTGTTATAAATAATACATGCAATTTATGCAACTAGCAATTTAAAGTTAGATGATGTTTCATACCTATCTTTTAATTACATAAGCATAAATTGGGATAAATCACAAAAAAAGCTCTTTGTGGTATAACCTTACTAATCACTAGAAAATGTCCTTATAAACTGATACTAATTTCTGATTATAATGAATTATTAATCCCTCTAATTTTACTTACTTTGAATATTCTTATACCCTGTTATACCAATATTGAGATTCATATAGATTCACACATAACATAGTGTAGACATAATTCAGTGGGCAAATTGTTCGATGCTAAGTGCATCTCAGATGTTTTTGATTTCTAGCATGCTTTCAAAGTAATGTGGGAATTATGGGAACAGAAATATTTCCTTAACATTGCTAAGAGAATAACCAATTTGTGTTTTTATTATTTCATCTCTAATTGTATTGGGTTACTGCTTATTTTTCCTTTCTACAGCCCTTTGTGCCATTCTCGCCACTAATTTATAACACCATTCTACGATAAAGAACTAGTATATAAAGGACTAGTGTTACAGAATTGGATAGGTTTTGCAGAGCTACACATCAAGATACATGCAGCTGCTATAAAAAGCCAAAGAAACTCAATTGCAATTTTATTGTCCAGTTTGATAGATTTCCTGCCACCTTTGTAGCAGGGAAGCTGTTTGTCACTGTAACCCTCTCCTCCAACAGCTGCACAACGTTTTATAAGCAGCAACGGCTTTTCTAGCATAATTGCACTACATTGGTTTCCTTGCACTCAGAATTTAGAAGGTGTGTGTAATCTTTTTAAAGCCAAATTTCTTAATATTACTGATGTATTTTGCTCATTTCCATAGGTTTTTTTTTGTTTTGTTTTCCAAATATTAACACAGTGTATACAAAGGTGTTTAATCTGTGGCTTCTAGTTCAATAAAAATGTTAATGAAAAAATGAAATCGCAACTCAAGTTTGTTCTAACTGGCCAGTGCTGAATTTATGAAAGCATCTAAGAACTTGTTTTTTAAACATTGTAACCATGCTAGCTAGGCCTTAGATTTTATCAGTCTATCCATGTTACTTTGTAAAAGGGACCAATGATTTTGGGGTTAATAATCAGAAACAAGTAAAGAATGGTGGACAACTTGCCTTCTTGACCTTTCAGCTTCCCCAAGTTTTAAAAGAATGTAATGCTTTACACAGTATAATACACTCCTAAATTATCTGAATGTTTTAAACTACTGGAAAGAGCTAACATTTGCTAATTTCAGGCCCTTAAATATATTTTACTACTTAAAAGTTGCTTCATGTTACCCTGTGATTCAGTTAAAGAGAAGATATTTGGATAAATTCTGATTTTTTGTTTTTCTAATTTCTTTTTAGTAGCCCAAGAAATTTTCATTGACTAAGACTCAGAAATGTTAATATGTATAAGCTACAGTTTTATTGCTGTATAAGTGGAAATTGCTGTATAAGTGGAAAAATTTTGTTCATTGATCTGAATGGGAAGAAGTATAATCTGAAAACATCAGTATTGTGTCTTTAACATACAACGTATTTCTAAATAATTGTTAGTTTTCAGTCTAAGGAAGTACAGTTGTAATAAACATTGGTGCGTGTTAAGTGAATTTGTATGTTCCTTGGTGCCCTGCTCATTTAATACAGGAGGAAAAAAAAAAAAAGGTGTGCACAATGTTTACATGTGTTATGTTTGCCTGATTTTCATCACTGTCAGATGAGGGAAAATTGGCAAAAGCAGCAAAGATTAGGTGGTGGAGGAGTTAATATGTAGTGGCAATTTAAAAACTAATTTGCGGAGAAGTGAACATGGCTCAGTAGTTCTGGAAAGTAACAGGCTATCAGGAACTCTTGAGTCCAAATCCCATTGGCATTCATGAGTTATTGAGGACACTTTTGTCTCCATTTTTTTCTCCCTGTCTTGAAGAAGGTAGGGTCTCCCAAAGTGGTATGTGCAGGCATTTTTAGCTCTAGGGCATTTTGAAGGCTTCAGATGTTTTTCAGTCCTCTGAAAAGTGTGTCTGCATTGCCCTGAGGGGAAGCAGAGGTAGCTAGCCGAGAGGGTCGTTGTACTACTGCAGGTTTTTGGTTTTCAATTGTGCAATGCCCAATGTGTCAATGAAGCAAAGCTGGGGGAGATGCTAATTAAGTAGCACACTTGAAATGCTTAAATATGGGTTTCATTTTTGTGTTATAAATAGTTACTTATAAAAAATCATTGCTTATTCTAGATAGAATGATTCTCGGGGGGGGTCACCTGACTTATGGAGAGCAGAAGGAACTTGGAGACTAGAATGTGCAGCCTCCTTTAAAGCTGTGTACCCTCCAAGATGTGTGGTTATAATGCAATCCTTCACCTTTTCTAGGTGTTTCCTTGTTACAGCTTCTTTTGTAGTAGGTGCGTGAGAAGGCTTTTCCTAATCAATGCCTCTGAGAAGAAGAAAGTGTTTTCATTATTCAGCAGGCAGAATAGTCGGGAGGAGAGATCTGTACCACTAATGGGCTCTTATGCATGCAGCACATATGGGAGTTCCTCCATCTCATTATTCACTCAGTTTGAGTGAATGGAGTGTCATGAATGCTAAAATTTGACTACTTCAAACTGAAGGAAAAGTGTGAAATAGGGGATAGGCATAGAGTGAGCAAGGTAAACTCAGAATTTATGAAGCAGGAAAGAACAGGATCAGCTGGGTAGAGGAAGCCGCACAGAAGCCTTAAAAGAGTGTAATAGAGGTTTGCTACTTGTTGAGAAGTGCCAGAGGTCTCAAAAAGAAGAAATGCGGAAACATTTGCAGTGGAAAGAACGGATGCATAAAGAGGCAAACAGCTATGAGG